AGATTTGCGTGCTATTGACTTGACTTCAAATTCCTGTATCGATCGCGACCGATATGTTTCAAAGTCGGTCGCGACCGATTGGTCGTGATTCGGTCGCGACCTGTCCCGGAAATCGGTCGCGATCGGTCGGGACCGATTTGGAGTGCCGATCGGTCGCCACCGGTCGCAATCGGAAAAATCGGGTATCCAGTGATCTGGGAGCGGCATGATTTTTTTCATGACCCCAGAGTGTCCGGAGAGGAATAGGAGGAGGAGGAGGAGGAGGAGGAGGAGGAGGAGGAGGAGGAGGAGGACCATAATAATCTCAAGAGCCATCAACGATGTTGGAATAAACCCTCCCTCCAAGCTCCCTCTTCACAGGCCCCTACAAGGGTTCATTTCCACTGAGGGAAGTGCCTCGTTGGAAGGCAACCGTTTGAAGACCCTGAAGCATGCCAACGCATCGTTTTCGGGATTCCGATGCCACGGATCAACCTGACTGTCGCGTCCTGACGTTCTTGAATCGTGCCAGAACGCCCTTTCTTGGACTTTTACACCGCGAGCCAACATAACTGTTGCACCCTCATAATCTTAAATCCTTTTATGGGAATCCGTGAAACTCTTACACAGTTTAAAACGAATGTGCGCGGCGCTAGGGCGAGCGCCACTTTTTGAAAAGGAGCCGCCCTCAATCCGTGAAGGTCTTGAAACGTTTCAAGACGAATGCACGCGGCGCTAATCGCCATCAGTCCGTAACACTTTTACAATTTTAAGATATATGCGCGCAGCGCTATGGCCAGAGCCACATCTTGAAAACCAGCCGCCCTCATTCCGTGAAGCTCTTGCAAATGGTCAAAATGAATGTGGGCGGCGCTAAGGCGAGAGCCACATTTTGAAAACGGGCCGCCTTCCATATGTGAACCTGTTTCCATGTTCTAAGATTCAGGGCCATAAGCGGTTAAGAAGTCTCAGGCGAAACGCCTGGCCCGCCCTAACAACTGGTCCCGGGGTGCGACAGGGAGAAGTTATTAATTATAAGGATAAGGAATGGAAGAAGAGGAGAAGTAAAAGGAGGAGGAGGAGGAGAAGGAGGAGGATAATGAGTTGGAGGAGGACGAGGATGGGGAGGAGGACGAGGAGGAGGAGGAGGAGGAGGAGGAGGAGGAGGAGGAGGAGGAGAATGAGGAGGAGGGAGGAGGAGGAGGAGTTGGACGAGGAGGAGGAGGGGGAGGAAGGGGAGGAGTTGGACGAGGAGTTGGAGGAAGGGGAGAGGGAGCAGGGCTTGGAGGAGGAGTTGGAGGAGGAGGCCGAGTTGGAGGAAGGGGAGGAGTTGGAGGAGGAGGAGAAGGAGGAGGAGGCGCGTTGGACGAAGACGAGGTGGGAGGAGGAGGAGGAGGAGGAGGAGGAGGAGGAGGAGGACGAACCTGGGTTGCTCGCAGGCCGCGGGGCCCGGCGTGGACGCGGTGTGCCAGGTGCGCGCTGGCGGCTTCCGCGCGCGCGGCCCCACAGGGGCGCGGAGGTACGCGTACCAGGCCGCGGCCCCGGCCGCTGGAGGGCCACCACTGCGACGACGACGACGACGGCGACGGCGACGGCGACGACAACGACGACGGCGACGACGACGACGACGACGAAGGCGACGCCGACGGCGACGCCGACGGCGACGACGGCGACGCCGTCGGCGACGCCGACGGCGACGACGGCGACGACAACGACGACGGCGATGACGACGACGACGGCGACGCCGACGGCAACGCCGCCGACGACGATGCCTACCGGCCGCGGCTCCGGCCGGGGGGTGCGGACAAGCAGCGCAAACACGAGGGCACATTTCGATCGACCCGATATTGTTCTCAACGGGCGAAGTATGCGAGACATTTTTTTGTTGTTGTTGTCGGGGGCGCCAGTCCCAGGACGGCCGAAAAGCTTGTACGTCTACGGTGGCACGTCAGCGTGTAGACTTTCCAGCCGCCCTGAGACAGGCGCCGGCAATTGAACATGTTATACCGCTCTTCGCGCGCTAAGATTCGATACAAAGGTCGGCCAATCCGATCCGATTCCGACTCTCCCGCGATCCAATGCGGACCGAGGCTCGCAGGGCGCTGTTGCGCCTCCTGGCGCAGCCGATGCGACTCGACTTCGACTCCGTGCCGATGCAGCCCGATCCGGTGCACGCGTCTGCTCGATCCGGCGTGCGGATTCGATGCTGGTGGCTCCTGCACACGCTCATGCCAATGGGGTGTTCGATCGGAGGGAGGAGGACTGGCTACTCCAGATTTCGTAATAAAGGGAGGGGGGTCTCATTTCGGGGGGGGGTCTCTTCCAGGCTATCTTGGAGGGCCTAGGGGGTCTGGGCACGATGTTTTGGAGGGTTCTCCCACGGGGGAGGTCTGAAATGGCTTGTCTTGGAGGGTCCAGACCCCCTCCCTTTTATTACGACATCTGGAGTATGGGTATGGGCGCAGGTTGTCGGACCCCAGGGGAAGCTCCCGTTCGAGGCGGGACCCCCCTCCGACAGCACGTAGCCCTCCAAAGACGGGGGGGGGTCCCTATCGGCGACTCCTAAGGGTGTGGTTTACGATGGGCGCCGTTGGGGCTTGGGAGGGCACCACGTTGGCCTCCTCGGGCTGGTTCAGAACTCTGTCGAGGTCCTCGCCCGCCCACCAGGGTTCGGGTTGGAAACCATACCCTTTGCAAACCACACCGTTCGGGGGCGTCTCAACCTAGGCATGCGGCGCAATCCTCCGACCCCATCTACTCGGACTCCATCTCCAGGAGGCCTCTAACCACGAAGACGAGGGGGTATCCCCCATCACGAAGGACGACTACCCCGACCCTCACGATCGGCGTTTACTCGACCCTGTGTGTTTTTACGAAGCAGCCCTGCCCTCTTCGATTCCTTCCGTGGATCTGGAGCCGGCTGAGGGTCTAAGGTGACCCAGCACTGGTTCAAGCCAGCAGGAGGGTGGGGGCTCGGGGGCGAGGTTCGAGATTTGGGGTTCGAGAAGGAATAGATGAGAGGATATGGGATCAACAGCGCCTTTTACTCTGCTGGCCCTGTGGGGGGTTAAGGAGAGTTGGGGGGGAGGGGAGGGGCGAAGTTCGATGCTGTGGGGTCGAGAAGGCTGCTTGCCTCTTCCGGCCTCCGTGGGGCCGCTTCTGGGCCCCATGATTCTGGAAAGCTGATCCAGGGCTTTGTGGGCCCCGGAAACGGCAGGGCCGTTTTTTCACAGTTTCCAGAAAAATGTCCCTTGAAAATGGAAACGGCAAACAAACGGCGACTGGAAACGGCAAAGAAACGGCTCCAGGATTGGAACTGGAGCCAGGACCGGTAAAAAAACGGCGACGGAACCGGTGAAAAAACGGCGTCGGAACCGGCAAAAAATCGGCAAAACGGAACCGGTACACAAACGGCCCTGTCGTTTCCAGAGCCCACTAAAAGATCCAGGGTGAGGAGTTGCACCATGGTGGACCCCGGGAGGGGTCCGGGGGCAAGGTTCGACGAGACTTGGCGCCAGCTCGCCCCTCTTGGCCGCTGTCCTCGGGGCCCGACGGGCTCAGACCCCCCGAGGCCGCCCTTCAGAGCGTAAACTACCTACCCCGCTTTCGCTTCCAGACAAAACCAAGCCATACCACGCGCCTCCTCGTCAAGCGGCCTGAACAGTACAGGCTGCAATTTGGCATCGTTTGGTATCTCTTGGAAGCGAGGGTGGTCAAAAGCGAGGTAGGTTTGTTTTCCCCCTAGCCCTGTCCTGCGTCCCGGGAGGAAAAAAAAGTGATCCGATCCCCAGCATGCTGGCGTTTGCTCCGCAGGCCCGGGCGGCACTCGCCCGACGCTGTTGCGGCACTCTTCTTCGACACTCTTCTGGGTGCTCGAGCTTGTTTCGGGCCGGGCGAAAGGGGGGGATTGGGAAAGGGGGGGTTACGAAATTTGCTGCATGCAGCTGGTTTTGGCCTCACCGAGGGGCCCATTCCTCGATACATAGCCGCCTTCGGCGCCGGGAGGCGCCGGGAAAATCAGCTACGTGAGCTGATTCTCAAACCCCCCCTTTGCTATCCCCCCCTTTTGCCCGACCCGATTGTTTCTGGGGTGTGGTCCTGAAGTGGGATGGGAGCAGCATAACCCTGGACCCCTCGACCCCGTCCCAGGGACTCATCTGTCACCCCGCGCCGTCCTGTGGACGGCCTCGAGGCCGGCCCCCGTTGAGGGCACGCCGGTCGTCCACAGCTGCTCTCGCGGCTCGGAGGACACTCGGGCCGTGCCCCCCCTCGGCGCAGAAGGCGCGCGCCACCGCCACCGCCACCGCCACGCCTGGCCCTGGCGCCGGGCACCGTGGTGGTGCACAGGCCTGGGGCCCACGCCAAACTGGACTGTGTGTGCGGATTTGGGGAGGAGGAGGAGGAGGAGGAGGAGGAGGTGGAGGAGGAGGAGGAGGAGGGAGGAGGAGGAGGAGGAGCAGTTTGTGTGTGTGTGTTGGTTGCCACAGCCGGACTGTCGCTCGTGGTGCTGTGGACACGTGCAGCAGCCGTCGTGCGGGGGCGCCCTCCGCCCGAGCCCCGGGCCCGCGGCGCGAGGGCTGCCGTCTGCGGCTTGCAGCTGTCGGGACGGTCGGTCTCCTCCTCCTCCTCCTCCTCCTCCTCTCCTCCTTCTCTCTCCTCCTCCTCCTCCTCCTCTCCTCCTTCCTCCTCCTCCTCCTCCTCCTCCTCCTCCTCCTCCTCTCCTCCTCCTCCTCCTCCTCCTCCTCCTCCTCCTCCTCTGGCCTTCCTATGCCGCTTCGGCCCAGAGCAGGGCGCGCAGGTCAGGTCGTCGATGGTGCACCGGTGCCCTCGGCGGATCCTTCGCACCGCCGGAGGAGAAGGAGGAGGAGGAGGAGGAGGAGGAGGAGGAGGAGGAGGAGGAGGAGACGGAGGAGGAGGCGCCGCCCCGCTCCGTCCGCCCCCTCGGCCAGCGCGCCCGTGGTGAGGCCTTCGCGGAGCACGTCGTCACGGCGCAGGCGCTCGCGGAGCTGGCGCCGTTGTGAGGGAGCCGGCTGCGGGGGGCGCCCCCTCGCCCCCGAGGCGCCCGGCGCCTGGAGAAAGCACCACCACCATCATCACCACCTGCATCAGCATCATCGTCGTCGTCATCATCATCAGCAGCAGCATCAGCATCAGCATCATCATCTTCACCATCATCATCATTAGCATCATCATCGTAATACTCATCATCATCACCATTAGCATCATCATCGTGATCATCCTCATCATCCTCATCGTCATCGTCATCATCATCAGCATCATCATCACCACCATCATCATGATTGTCATTATCGTCAGCATCATGATTGTCATCAACAGCATGATCGTCTGCATTACCATCATCATCAGCATCATCGTCATCAGCATCGCCATCATTACCACCATCATCATCAGCATCCTCATCATCATCATCATCATCAGCATCCTCCTCATCATCATCACCATCACCATCACCATCATCCTCCTCATTATCAGCATCATTATTGCCATCCCATCATAATCAGCATCACCACCATCTTCAGCATCACCATCACCATAACCATCACCATCAACATCACCATCATATGTAGCACCACCAGTCTCAACACCTCCATCACCAGCATCATCAGCAGAAGCATGAGCAGCAGCATCCGTATCAGCATCAGCGTCATCATCAGCGTCATCATCATCATCATCATCATCATCATCATCATCATCATCATCATCATCATCATCATCATCATCATCCTCATCCTCATCCTCATCCTCATCCTCATCCTCATCCTCATCCTCATCCTCATCCTCATCATCCTCATCATCAGCACCGCATCATCGTGGTCGCCATCTCCACCACCGTCACCGCCATTGACCACCGCCGGCCTCGTCCACACCCCCTCCGCCCCCCTCGCCCTCCAAGCGTATTTTTGGCCCCGACCTCCGAGCCATGCCCGCGCCGGCGTCGCCGACGGCCGCCGCCCCGACGTCGCCCGCGCCGCAGGCGACCTCGCCCGCGGGCCTCGCCGCCGCCTCCCGGCGGCAGCTCTACGTGCCCGCCTCGCCGCCGGCCTCGGCGCGGGGCCCCGGGGGCCCCGCCCCGCCGCCCGCCCCGCCGCCCGCGGCCGCGGCGGCCTCGGCGGAGGGCCGCGCCGGCCACCCGCGGCGCGGCGTCGGGAGGCCAAGGGGGGCACAGCGGAGGCCTCCCTCCTCCTCCCTCCTCCTCCTCCCCTCCTCCCTCCCTCCTCCCTCCTCCTCCCTCCTCCTCCCTCCTCCTCCCTCCTCCTCCCTCCGGCCAGGGGGGCACAATCGGAGCCCGGCGGCGCGAGGCCTTCCCAAGAAGGCGGGGCTCAAGGGGCGCGGGTCAGTGCAAGCGGGGGTACTCCAGATCTCGTAATATAAAGGGAGGGGGTCGAGATCACAGCCCTCCAAGACGAGCTATTTCAGACCTCCCCCGTGGGAGAACCCTCCAAAACATCGTGCCCAGACCCCCCAGGCCCTCCAAGATAGCCTGGAAGAGACCCCCCCCGAAATGAGACCCCCCTCGCGTTATATTATATTACGAAATCTGGAGTAAGTAAGAGCGCCGGGATCTTGCAGGAGCCTGCAGGGCCAGGGGCGCACCGACGGGGCTCGCGCGCAGGGCCGTGCAGGATGCCGCAGGACCCCGCAGGATCCCGCAAAAGGCCCGACGGGCCCGAGTTTGTTGTCTTGATGTCGGGCCAGTGCGTCCCCGGCAGAGGTCCGAGGCTCCGGCAAAATTGGAGCAGCCGGTTGGGGGGTCAGTTTCGGCCCCCGGGTGCCCTCCACGGGCCCCTGGATCGGGCCGGACGAAAGGGGGGCATTGGGAAAGGGCGGGTTGCGAAATTTGCTGCATGCAGCTGGTTTCGGCCTCACCGAGGGGGCCATTCCTCGATACATAGCCGCCTCTGGCGCTGGGAGGCGCCGGGAAAATCAGCGTACTACGCGAGCCGATTTTCCCCCCCCCCCCCCCCCCCCCCCCCCCCCCCTTTGCTATCCCCCCCTTTCGCCCGACGCGATTGGATCGTCGCAGAAGGCCTCCGGAGGAGACGCCAGCCCCAAGAAAGTGGTCCAGGCCAGGCCTCCGGGGCCCACGCATCGAAAAAGATTGGAGCGGCCGGATGTCAGGAGGGGAAAAAACACGCAGACACAATTCATCGCCGACCCCCAAGAAAATATTGGAACATACGGGAATTGGGCGGGAGGAAAAAACCCAGAAGATAAGCGGAGATATGGGGAATCCTTTCAGTTGTGTGTATTTGTTTGTGTGTCCTCGGTCCCTTGACGATGTCGGGGCCGGGGGCCCGCATAGAGTGTGCGGTAAGCGCGCACCGCGTGGCGAGTCCGCGTGGACCTGGGGCCGCCGCAGGGTCTTCGGGGCCCAGGCCGTTCTCCGGGGGCGCCTCGGGCGACTGGGGCCTCGAGGGCCTCAAGACCGCGTGGTGGCGGACCATGCATCAAGTCGGGCCCGCCCCTCTACAGGAGGAATACGAAAAAATTAATTAAAAATAGAATCCGGGGACTATGTTGGAGCATTGTTTGACCATGTTGCTGTACTTTTTGAGTTTTTTTTCATTTGTCGTCCAAAATCCCCCTGTTAGGGGGACACGCCCGACTTAAACCGTGCAGTGGGAGGGTTTTTTTTTGTCCATCAACAGTTACGACATGAGGCAGTGATCTTCTGGGCGACGAACACTTTAGCAGCGGCAGACTGAAACAGTCACGGAGTACCTCCAAGAGGTGGCGAGCGTGTCCCATGGTCAGAAGACACGCCCCTAGACCCCGAGGTCGTGATCTTTTCACAACGTCGTGACGTCGACCCTCATAGGTCTGGACCCCTTCCCCGGGACCGGCTTTTCGTCCTGAGTCGTTTTTGACGCTCCCGAGGCCCGGCGAGGGCCCCCGGAGGCCGAAACTAGCGAAACACCTCCGTCGTGCTCTTTTCTCACAACGCGAGGAGGTTTGGGCTCGAATGCCTGCTGAGATCTCGAGGAGTTCGAGAGCTCGAGGTCTTCTGGGAGTTCGAGGTGTCACCACACGGTGTGTCACACACACACACACACACACTCACACAAACCGCTCGGGGGCTCTTCGGCGAAGCTGACCGGCGCAAGGCAGGTCGGGCGGGGCTGGGACAGGGATAAATTCTAGACGCTTCGCGTAATTACATTGGGAGCCCATGCCTAGGAACACCCTGCTTGCCTCCAGGGTGCCCTGGGTTTCCTTGGTTTCGATGGTTTTGCGATGGAGAGCGCGACGTCCCCACGCCAAAATCATGGAAGTCCTGAGGTCTCAGGGTTGGGTTTCTTGTGGAAGGTTTCTTGTGGTCGGGCCTCCACTGTATCCACCAGCAGCCCATCCAGAAACGATGTCCAGGCGAGTTGAGGTGATCAGTGAAGTGTGGGAGCAAAGAGGGGGACGGCCGAACCATGCGAAGGAGGGAGGAGGAGAAGGAGGAGGCTGGATGGATGAGGGAGTGGGGAGAAGGAAAATGACTATGATGATGCTGCTGATGATGATGCCGATGCTGATGATGATGATGCTGATGCTGATGCTGATGCTGATGCTGCTGATGATGCTGATGCTGCTGCTGATGATGATGATGATGGTGGTGGTGGTGATGGTGATGATGATGGTGATGATGATGATGATGATGATGATGATGATGATGATGATGATGATGATGGTGGTGGTGGTGGTGGTGGTGGTGGTGATGATGGGATGATGATGATGATGATGATGATGAGGATGATGAGGGGAGGGGAGGGAGGAGGAGGAGGAGGAGGAGGGATGGTGATGAGATGAGGATGATGACGATGAGGAGGAGGAGGAGGAGGAGGAGGAGGAGGAGGAGGAGGAGGAGGAGGAGGCGGAAGAGAAGGAGTATGATGAGGAAGGAGCAGGAGGAGGAGGAGGAGGAGGAGGAGGAGGGCAAGCAAGAGGGCCAGAGGTCTCTTGAATGTCTCTCGGAGCCTCCTGGGAAATCTCTTGGGCGCTTCTTGGAGGCCTCTTGGGACGTCTTGGGGTCTCTTGGCGGTCCCGGGGGGCTCTTGGGCGTCTTGGGTGTCTTGGGGTGCCTCTTGGGGTCGCTTGGGGTCCTCTTTGGGGCCTCCTGGGGGCCTTTTGGAACTATCTTGGGGCCATTTGGGGGCCTCTTGGGGCATCCTGGGCGCTTCTTGAGGCCATTTTGGAGGACATCGATCAAAGAAGGGGGGGTCCCTAATTAGCGCTGCCCCTCGGGAGCCCCAAAAGTCGCCTCTTAGGGCGCTCTTGGGGCGCTCCTGGAGCGCTCTTGGGCGCTCTTGGGGCCGTCTTGAGGCTCTCTCGGGCCCTCTTGGGTCATCTTGGAGCCATCTTGAGGCCTCCGATGGCCATCGGAAGCGAAAAGGCGAGAAGGCAATAATCATTGGTTTTCCTCTGGTGTTGGAAGGATTTTGGCCTCTTGGAGGCCTCCTTGGTTGTCTCGGAGGCCACTTGGAGCCGTGTTGAAACCTTCTCGGATACTCTTGGAGCATCTTGGAAGCTATCTTGAGGCATCTCGGGCTATCTTGAGCCATTTTGCAGGTCATCTTGGGCTCCCACAGGCCCTCGTGGAGCCGTCTTGGGCCATCTTGGACGCTCTGACCGCTCGCGACCGCCCCCGTACAGGTCCAGGGGAGGGGGTGGGGGGGAGGGGTAAACCCCTCCCCGAAGGTGAAGAAAGGGGTTTGAAGAGGAAACTCTCTAGACCACCTACGTCCACAGGGCTGGTGGGATTTAAATCGGGCCTGTCCCTCTGCAGGAGGAATATTAAGAAATGGTTCCAAAAAAGTGTGGAGACGATTTTTGAACTATTTGTAACTATTTTGTTGCACTTTCCGGGTGTATTTTATTTTTCGTCCGAAATCCGCCTGTAGGGGGACATGCCCGACCCAAAGGTAAGTCGTTCCAGAGCGTTGCGGAACGCTCCCAGAGCATTCCAGGACGCTCTGAAAATAGGGCGGGTGGTAAGGGGAAGTGGCGTACATGG